ATGAATGAATGAATGAATGAATGAATGAATATGAATGTACAGGCAGCTTCATTCCTGTATGACAAGGCAAACTTGGCTCAATCAGTGTCACTTCTTAAGTGGAGGGGTGTATATCATATACATACAATATAGCTCAAGTAATAGTGAAACACAAAACATCTGACATGGGAAATGAGGAAGGCTCAAGTGCTTTGAAAGCCCAGGGAAAACAAAGGCTGATCAAGAAATCTAGCAGGCAATTAAGGAAGAGGTAAACTTGGGAGTAACGTCTTCCTCAGGATTCATGTTACACATTTTAAGTAAGGATCTCACTGAAGGCTTTAGTCTAGTTATTATCTCTTAGCAAAATTCCTATCACAGGTGGGAAATCCCTGAGAGGAGAGGATGCTATGTTTCCTAATGCCTGACTGGGATGAGGGTGAAGTGTTTTTCTGAAAGATCTCAACTTATAAATTGAAAAACAATCTTTTAGGATAAAGTGACATGTCAGGATTCCAAATAGCATCCAAAAATAAATCAGAGTCAGAGGCAAAGCATTCCTCAAAATTCCAATTTATTAAGAGAGCCATGTTGGCACATCTGGGCAAAACTAAATCTGAGAGCTTCCAGGTTTTTCCATCCAGTTGAAAGTTCAAGATCCTACCACACCCACAAAGCCCATCACATGGTCCAATCTTCTACTGCCACGCTGGCAGCATCCACCCATCCAGTTCTGGCCAGGTACAGAGACAAAGGATGACCTTGGCTTTCTAGAAAGAATGTTATTATGGCTACATATCACCCAACTCCACATAATCCCCCTTCCCGTTTTCCCACAATAGGAAATGAATAGTAGAAAGTGTGGCAGGCCTGAAGTCCAAAAAGAAAAGATGGCTTGTAGGCCTGACATGACTCATAGCAATTTAGAGCTTCATGAATCCTAATTGCTGAATTCTGGTCTGAAATATACTAGCTTCAGAATTCTGAAATATATATACTTAAAAACTGAATGTTCTCTATACAGGAAGTCCTCGACCACAATTGAGCCCAATATTTCTGTTGTTAAGTGAGACATTTGTTATGTGATTTTTGCCCCATTTTATGACATTTCTTGATTCAGTTGTTAAGTGAATCACTACAATTGATACGTTAGTAACCCAATTATTAAGTGAACCTGGATTCCCCATTGTCTTTGCCAAGCATCTGAATTTTGATCGCATGACCATGGGGATGCTGCAGAGGTTGTAACTCTGAAAAACAATCCTAAGTTATATTAAATATAGACAACACACATTTGCCATTCTAAGAAATGGCATTTAATTGTCCCCTATGAGTTGAAATCTTTCTTTATTGAGGAAAATGCTTTAGGTATGAGCTCATAAGGATAATTTACATCTAGTCTAGGAAGGTGACATCCTGACATAAAACGATATATAATGAATATTTCAAGAATTTGTCATGGCAATAAATCTGTCACACCCCCTGACAAGGTAATTCAAAAAGCTGTGATTATATGTCAAATATGGACACTATAAATTATATAGAATTGCTAATGGCAGGTGGCATGTTCAGCATTAATTTATGGTAGAGAACAATCCAGTAAGAAATGAAAACATAAACCAAGAATGCAATTAATGAATACATTAAAAATGTAATTTCCTCATTATACCCGAGCAACTTTATAGTATTTAAAACTGTAATAAAACTGGCTTAGAAATACCTTTTCCAATCATAATAATCACTGTATACATAATACATGTCAAATGTCTAAAAATACACATTTTCATAAACGCTGCACCTGGAGCATTCATTCACTTTTAAATCAAGAGTATTCAAAGGAAGTCTTTCATGCTTATTAGTTGTAATGTAGGTCTCTTTACAATTCTTAAAACTATTTAATAGATATTCTCCTACTAGAGTGATAGAAATTACCTTCCTGGTTTCATTTACAATTCACATAATATCTAAAACGGACCTTGAATTACTGTTAGTTGTGTTTAGCAACCTATAGATGATTTCTCTGGCAAGGGACACATCATTGCTGTAAGTTTATAGGAGCATTCCATGTCAGAAAAAGATCTGAGTCATTTACCAATAACTCTAGAAACAACTGACTTCCTCAATCCCAATGTAAAAACACCTAAAATATATATAAATTATCCCAATGTCTGCATAATACAATTATTAAATTTCATACATTTTCTACTTTTATGTTGCCAAAGTAGCTATTAAATATAGTGATTGTTTTGTATTAAAAGTGTTGGGGGACAGGAATTTAATTTTTTCCTTGGATGATTCCATAAAGCTGCATCACTAAAATCTACGCCCACCCCCGATTTAGCGAAGGGGGAAGAAATAACGATATATCATGTGACGACAATGTGATGCCCAAGTTTGACACCCCTGCTCTAAACCATCATAGAGCTACTTCATTAATTCTGAAAAATGTAAAACAACTTTATACAGTGAAAAAAGTGTGAATCCTTCTTAGTTACATTTAATATCCATTAGCAATAGCAATAGCAGTTAGATTTATATACCGCTTCATAGGGCTTTCAGCCCTCTCTAAGCGGTTTACAGAGTCAGCATATTGCCCCCACAGTCTAGGTCCGCATTTTACCCACCTCGGAAGGATGGAAGGCTGAATCAACCTTGAGCTGGTGAGATTTGAACTGCCAAATTGCAGATAGCAGTCAGCTGAAGTGGTTGCAGTACTGCACTCTAACCACTGCGCCACCTCGGCTCTTCCATTGCATTATAAATATTTTCCTACTATTCAGAAAATGCAGGCACACACACATCTACAGATCAGAGGTGGTATGCTGCCAGTTCACACCGGTTTGCGCGAACTGGTAGTGATGGCGGTGTGAGGCTCCTCCCACCCACCCAGACATCATCAAGGACCTTATGTACATAGGATACCATTACTGCTACAGACCTCTTTTCTAAAATGTGATCTATTTCAGAATTTTAAATATACCCTAACTTGAGGCTGTCTAAGTATTTTGGAGCTACACTCTAACAGGATGACATGTTGGAGAGGATTATTACTTCCCCAAGTTGGGGATGTAGTTGTCAAGTATTATAATCTCCCAAAGAAGGTAACAATATAGATGGTATACATAGATTTACAGATAAATACAAAAAATATAAATGTAGACAGATGATACAGACAGAGACATTCACCTTCTGGCTGATAACACGTGCAGTGAATGAGTCTCTGCACCGCTTCCAGTTAATTAGTCCTACCATATTTAGATTGCCCAAATCCAAAGGATCCAAAGGATCCAAAGAAGAAAATTCTAATAGTCATCTGGTAGTCATCCAGACTTTCACAGGGCAGATAGGATACACCTAACTTAATATCTAAAAATTGCATAATAGGAACCTCAGGGGAAATTCATTAAATGCACTGCATTAAGAATGGCACTTTCTCCTCTCCCCAACTGAAAACTGTGAAGAAGAATCTCCTACTTTAAATGATCTGGGTTTTTTTTTTGAGGTACTGCATTTTACATTAAGTTTTTATTGACACCTTATGCTAACTAAAAGATTTCAGGAGAAGCAGAAAAAACCCGCTCTATGAACTATTTGAAAAGCGTATGGTATGTAATTTGTAATTTTTACAGTATATGCTTTTATTGCAACAAAGCAATAGAGAAAATCACTGCCATGCCCATTTCATAGATAGGCCACTATGAGAAAAAATAGCTGGTAAATCACTTAAGGATACAGTATAACAGAACCTTATGGCAAATGTAGGCTTTTGGTGCTTGACTTCCAAGTGATGCATTTTATATTCAGCTTTTGCCAACCTGTCGCTTTGTGGATAGTTTGAGCTGCAACTCATGAAACTGCCTATTTACGGTAGCTGGGAATCTCAGCAGTTGTTATTAATATACTACTAAGGTAGCAACCTCGAGAAGGCAACTCTATAAAGCCTTACTATATTTATACCTGCAACAGGAATAATCACATATGATATCCCTATTTAGTTTTGCTTTGTTTACTTTCATCTTTTCACTTTCTGTAAGAGTTTAGACAATGAGATGGTTTGGTATGGGGAAAGTATTTATTCTCTTGTATTACATAAAGCATCAGAAAATGAAAAATTGTATTGTCTACTACTCTATGTTATGAGAGGCAACAATCCTTCAAAATTATTAAAAAGAAGTATTTCCTGAATCCTGTTGATCAAAATTGTTTCATAAGAGACTTGTACAGAATAAAGCTGGGATTATCAACTTGTAAAAATAAGATACAGTTTGAGAAAACAAAATTCTATGCAATGTAGCTAAGACACATCTTCATGTGCTTTAATCTATAGGTTCCCTGTCTTGAAGCTGCAAATGTTTAGTATTATACAGGGATTCTTTTCTATCCATCACTACTGAAACATTGATTCTGTAACTGGAAGAAGTAAATATGGTCTGCAACAAAACACTACAGTAAATAGTAGGCATTTGGAGAGGCCAGCTGGACAAGCCTATTCCCAGAAAAATTCCACTACATTTCAAACTTGAATTTTGATTTTCTTTTCTCTCTTTCTCTCTCTCCCAACCTCAGTCACCATATTCTTTGATTGCTGCATGCTAGGTTATCATTGGACTCTTTGGGGACATCTAATTTTCTCCTGTTCAGATTTCCCCCTGCAAAACAGTTCCAAGCAGCTGCAGCAGTTGCCTTGTAAAATGATGCCAGATGAGTTCATTTTTACAGGACAAAATAATTAGAACAATCAAAGGACATTAGAACTAAATTCATCTTCTAACAATGAGGGTTCCCCTTCATTAGGCAAGAAAAATTTATTCATGCAGAATAGCAGAAAAATCTTACCAAGTTGTAAGTTGCAACTATAAGCGCACTTATTAGAGAAGATGTCATAATCGAGTATTGTAAGGCTTACTTCTGAGTTACTTGGGCATAATGAAAATATAAGATTCTTCATTTTCAATTTATTCTGGCAACCAAAGAATCATACGGGTCTACTTAATAAGCATACAATAGCCTTCTGTACTTACCATTCTGTATAATTTATCTTCTAGGTCTTGATTAATTCTTTGTAAGGCTAGGTAGTTGTTTTGTATCCTAAAATAAAGAAGAAATCTTGTAATTAACATAATCGTTGCACTTTCACTTTGTACTTTTTAACTTTATTTTGCATGAGCAGTTGCAACCCAGTTCCTATTTCTTTATATGCGAAATAGGTACTTTTATCTGTGATAAATCTGAAAAGCAAGATGATGAAATGGCCCAGCTAAAACACGAAAAACACCAAATCAAATCACCACTCAAATACAGAGCTTTCATTGGCCAATCTTGGGCTGAACACTATTTTTGAGTTTAGGCCTACCTCACAGGAGAGCTGTAAGAGCTAAGGAGAAAAGGAAGAGAGAAACATGTATATTATTTAGTTCCTGAGAGCAAAGTTAAGAATAAATCTGGAAACAATAAGACCCTGACCAAACAACTGTGAAAATTATTGTTCCCTAGTCCTCACTGTGGTTCAAAGATTGTTGTGAAATATTGGACAGTCAAATCTAAAATAAGTTGACCTAGAAAAAGAATCATGCCCTGGTGTATTGCACTTTTCACATTCTTTACCTCCATGGAAATTAAAGAGGGAGACCATGCCTAGCATTACTTTTGATTCCCTAAACATAAGAGGAACAAGCACTCTGAGAATGGCTCCTCTATGATACTGATCAAGTGTCCAGATGATGACATTTTCTCTTTCTATTCTGAGTTCACTGTCATCTGAAGTCATCAAAAACCAGCAGGAGAGACAAGTTCTAGGCCTGTCCACTAGAGTTTTTGGCAGAAGCAGGAGGGTTACTAAAATTTCCCTCCCTACTCTAAAGCAAAGAGAAGCCATAGTCATTGTTAATAATAGAACATATCAATTTAGCCATTGTCTAACCACTGCAGGATGAAGGCCTCCTCCATGCGTTTCCAATCAATTCGGTCCTGAGTTTTCTTTTGCCAATTGGGCCCACAATACTTTCTGATGTTGTCAATCCATCTTGTTTTAGGTCTCATTTGTAGACGCTTTTTATCAAGTGGGATCCATTCTATGACTTGATCCACCTGTCATCAGTTTTCTTATTATATGACCAGCCCATTTCCATTTTAAATCTTTTACTCTCTTGATGATATTGTACATTTTCATTTGTTCTCTTATCCATGTGCAGGTATTTATCGTGTGATGCTGAGTTTGTATCTTTCCATGACTCTTTGCGCTATTCTTAGCTTTTATATTGGTTGTGAGGTTAGTGTCCATGTGTCAGGGTTCCAAATAGCATCCAAAAGTAAATCAGAGTCCAAGGCAAAGTATTGCTCAACGTTCCAATTGATTGAGAGAGCCATGTTGGCACATCTGGGAAAACCTGAATCTGAAAGCTTCCTGGTTTTCCTCACCCAGTTGAAAGTTCAATCTCTTGCCCCCATGCCCACAAGTCCATCACACGGTCCAATCTCCCACTGCCATGATGGAAGTTCCACCCATCCAATTCTGGTCAGGTGCAGAGGTTCAGAGACAAAGGATGACCTTGGCTTTCTAGAAAGAATTTTGTTGTGACTACATAGTATGTGTCTCCTTACAATCCCCCCTCCCATTTTTCCACAATAGAAAATGCATAGCAGAATAATAGAAAGTATGGCAGGCCAAAGACCCAAAAGAAAATATGGCTGCAGGCCTGACACCATGTTTCACTGACATATGTTAGAACAGGTCGCACATACTGATTGAAAACCTTTGTCTTCAGGCAGAGGGGGGAGGCTGTCGTGGAAAATTATGCTTATCTTGCCAAATGCCTGCCAAAACACATTTAACACATCATTCAATTTCCTTTGTTGTATCTCTTTCCATTGAGATGCATTGGCCAAGGTATATGTTGCTGTCTACTACGTCTAGTTCTTCTGCAGATATAAATTTCCCCCCTTTCTTTGGTGAATTTATTAAGATTCAAGATTTAATGAATTTGTATGCCGCCCAATCCTGAAGGACTCCGGGCGGCTTACATAAAAACAATTTAAAAATATTAAAAGAATTTAAAATACAAAGACAACAAGTTAAAAGAACATAACATGCACTCAATCTTAGTGGGGCTGGAGCTCAATCAAGGATCAGCAGCCTCAGGCCTGCCGGAATAGCCAGGTCTTAATAGACTTTCGGAAGGCCGAGACAGTGGGGAGGGTCCAGATCTCAGAGGGTAGATCGTTCCATAGGCAGCTACAGAGAAGGCTCTCTCCCGAGGAGCCACCAGACGACATTGTGTAGTCGACGGCACTCGGAGAAGGCCTATCCTGTGAGATCTTATCGGACGCTAACCTGGCTCTTTTTCAGGTTTATTTTTAAGCCAAATGGTTCTCCTGCTTTATGCAGCTCTTGTATGTGTCTTTATAGCTCTTCTGGGTCTTGTGAGAAGAGAACAACATCATCTGCAAATCTTAACTGATTTAAATAGGTGCCATTGATTTTTATTCCATCTTTTGCCCAGTCTAGTTTGCAAAGTACTTCTTCAAGGCAGGCTGAGAAAAGGATAGGTGATTTTGTATTGCCTTATTGTACACCTTATTCTATTTTGATTTCCACTTTAAGATCATTAAGACAAATTACTGCCATTGTTTTTTCATATATTGATTGTAGTAAGTTTATCTAAACAGTGTCTACGCTTTGGTTGAGCAATGCCTTAATTATTGCTTGCTGTAATACTGAGTCAAATACCTTTTTGTAGTCAATGAAAGTCATGCACTCATTGCACAGAGATATAGTGTACTCATTGTGCCATTCTTACTGAACAACCTGGATGTGATCCATTGTGCTGTAACACCTTCTGAACCTTGCCTGCTCCTTTGGCTGTTATTATTTAATGTTCTCAATCTTCTTTTTGTTGTGGATGACTGGAAGAAGGCTTATTGGGCTTATAGTTCTTTAAATAATCTTGGCCCCTTTCTCGTATATAAGAATCACTTCAGCATTTTTCCACGTATCAGTTATTTTTACTTCTCAGAAGGATCTTGAGTATAGTTTTGCTAGTATCTTGTGTAAACTGTGACCACCAGCTTTCAGCATTTCAACCACAAGCATATACAAGGTAGAAAGATAGAAAAGATCAGAAGCAATTTCATTTTGAATGTAAATGTTTAAACCTTGACTCTTAAATAGGGATGGAGAACTTTGACGTGAAACCCTGGATTTTGTTTGGATTTGTCACTACCCATCTTGCAAGTATGGGTGAAAAATAATATAAAATGTTAATGATTTTATTATGAGAATTCCCAGCATCATATATAAAATTTGCAATATATCTTTTTTGAGGCATCCATGCTGGGTGGGAAGGAACTGATTTTTGGACTGATTTTTTTAAAATTTTGAGTTAAGTATAGCTGAAAGACTGAACTCTTGCAGAGGTTTAAAGAACCCATTTTCTTATATAACCCTTTTGATTTCCTATAAGAATAAAAAATGGTCCACATAAGAAGGTCAAAAGGAACCTACTATGGATAAATGCAGTTAATAAAGACTCAGATTAATATAAAAGAAACTGGGAAGAATTGCTATGAGGCTCTCCTTCCACAAATCCCTTGACAAATGGGCTGAAAACATTAGACATTTCATCCCTTTCATCCCTCATTGGATTTTAAGTGTGGCCTCTGCTCACAAGGAAGCAAGAAGGACATGGATTTTAATAAGATCTCTTTAATATTTGGCAGGGGTTAATACAGACTCTTAAAAACCCTAATAGGAATGGTTATACAGATTTAATTTTGATGGAGTTTCTTTGAAACACTTTCCTCATCTTTTTCAGTAGCTGGGCTTAGTTTCATTTTCCGAAGTAAACATTTTAACAGTCTCTCCTTCATTTTGCACAATCTCTCACATGAATCTCTCTGCATACCATGATTTTGAGAATCAATATATAATAGAACCTATCCTCATAATATGCTGCAAAGATTCCTCTGTATACAATATGGGTAATTTGTCATAGGGACATTTTTTTCCATTCGCTCTTGGCATTTACAGGTAAAAGATAGAGAAATATAGTATATAGTAATGGCACTTAGAAATAGCAGACATATACCACTTTGCTTTTACAGCCCTCTCTAAGCTGTTTACAGAGTCAGCAAATTGCCCCCAACACTCTGAGTTTTCATTTTACCCATCTGGGAAGGATGGAAGGCTGAGTCAATCTTGAGCCTGATGAGGTTCAATCTGCCAAATTGCAGGCAGCCGGCAGTCAGCAGAAGTAGCCTGCAGTACTGCATTTTAACCACTGTACCACCATGGTTCTATCTATATATAAATGTTTATTAAGGTAACCTGGTGTGTCTTGTAAAACACATTTAGTGCTCTACATGGAGCTACCTTTAAACAGAATCTGAAAGCTTCAGTTAGTGCAAAAAGCAGCTGCCAGGCAGTTCTTGGGAGGCCTTAGGCTGGTCCATGTCAATGTTCTGCAGGCTGCACTGGCTGTCAGGTTGCTTCTGGGTCCAATTCAAGGTGTTGGTTATAGCAATAGCAATAGCAATAGCAATAGCAATAGCAATAGCAATATAGCAATAGCAGTAGACTTATATACCGCTTCATAGGCCTTTCAGGCCTCTCTAAGCGGTTTACAGAGAGTCAGCATATTGCCCCCAACAATCTGGGTCCTCATTTTACCCACCTCGGAAGGATGGAAGGCTGAGTCAACCCTGAGCCGGTGAGATTTGAACCGCTGACCTGCTGATCTAGCAGTAGCCTGCAGTGCTGCATTTAACCACTGCGCCACCTTGGCTCTCTTATCACCTTTAAAGCTCTTCATGGCATGGATGCAGGCTATTGAGGAACCAGTTCATCCTGCTGAAGTTAACCTGCTCTGCTGATGCGGGTAGAAAGGGAATGCTGTGGATTCCATAAGCCATGGAATTTTGGTTCCTACTCTCTGGAACAGCATCCCCTGGAGATGAGAACCTCATCCACACTTTTGCCCTTCTGAAAAACCATGAAGACATGGCTCTGCCAACTAGCCTGGGACCCAATGGGAGTGAGTTTGGAAGTGGCTAATGGAATAGATAAAACCCCACCTGCTCCCAGTGCACACTTTGGTCCCTTCTGGTTAGTTTTATTTTAGCTGAATCTTCAATGTATGGTATCTATTTATTGTTTGAATGTTTTATTGTACATTTTAATTGAATGTCTGTAAGCCATCTAGAGTTGCCTCGGGTGAGATGGTCAGCTACAAGTATAAATAAATTAACAAATTTATGAATTAAATAAAAACAGCAAAGTTGCAACTAGAATTGGAAGTAAATTCTATTGAATCCAATGAGACTTCGCAGGAGAAGGAGAGGCAGAACTTGGTGGCAGAGTCAAAAGAGGGATCAGCCTAGAATCTCTATGTAGCCATAAATGGAGTAAGTCCATCCCTTCTTGAATTCCTTTGACCCTTATCTAAAGTCAAAACACTGCTAACCATTAATTGAATAGATTCATTTAGACAGGCATGTTTAGTAATAAATCAGCTTAATTGGAACTTCATGTGTGGTCCTGTTCTTTAGCATCTGACAGTCTCATTCCTTTACACATAAAGTATATATAACCGTGTTGTTAATCTGAAACAAATAATTGAAACATTACTTCTGATATTCAATCATTCATTCTTTTTGGCAAATGGTGAAAAAATGACCATCTTTAATTGTCTATTGAAGGAATAAGAAGAACAGGATCAGATGATTTTTTTACTCCTGCATTTAGTTCTATTAGTGGTCAAGCAGTAACCCACAGCCTAGAAAGGAAAATAAATTCTCTTCGTCTATGTAGAATCCCTTATCAATTAGCTTTGTGAAATGACTCTGAGATCCAACATTATTAGAGAGAAAAAGAATCCATATTTAATTGCTCTATTTCATGAATAGGTTTTCATATTCTCTCTCACTTTACTTGTTCCAGCTCCCCACAACTTTAAATTTTGTAACTTTTTTTTCATAAGGGAGGTGCTCCAATCCTTTGGTCATTTTATTAGTTCAGTGCTGAGATTTAATTAATGCCAACATTGAATTCCTTTCTAATTTTTAATGAGTATCAACATTCTTCACATTTCTGATATTTCACTAAAATAATACTTGCAATTTATTTTCTGTAATGTCAATGAATTCAGACACAAACCGTCTCAGCTTTTCGGTCACTTTTTCTAGTTCTTCCTGAGCGCGTCTCAGTTCTACTTCAAGATATTGACGTGTAGAATCAAATTCAGTTTCAAGCATTTCCAGTTTGTGGGTTGTGTAAGAAAGACGCTTACAGAGTTCCCCCTTCTGTTCCTGTAGCGTGCTAGAAAGACAGAGAGTGCAACAGATTAACACCCCTTACTTTCAGCCTAGTGACAGATATGGTCACATGAATTATACAATTTACATAATGTAACAAATATTAGAAGTGTATTATTATTCCTTGGTTTTCAATTATAGCTGTCATCCTCTGGAGCAAAATTTCAGAAAGTGAAAAACATTACCAATATTTTGGTTTACTCTGACTACCTACAGTATAATTCTCCAGTGGGTGAGAGTTAGACTTCTAGTGAATTAGCCTTTTAACTGAGAACTATTAATTGGAGATACAAATACATGGAACTAAGATCTTTTGCACAAATCAAACAAAAATTATGGGGCCAAGTAGAAGTTCCTGCTACGGGTTCAGAGTTCAAGATTTCAAAGGCAAACCCACCAATTAGATACCTATAGTCCATTGGTTGTTAGTCCTGGTTATTCTGTTTGGTTGCTTGGTCACTCTTTGATGTTTCGTATTCTGTATTTATATATTGTAGATGTTTAATGTTGTACAGGTTTGGAAACTTGTTGGTTTCCTGTTTCCCTTTATTTTATATGCCATCTAGAGTCATGCTGAGTTTGGCAGCCTTATAAATCTTATACACAAACACATAGTAGCTCCATGCTACCTAGGATTGCGAGGAATAGCAGAAAGTAGGAGCGACAAGCTAGTTTTGGAACATTCTTTACTTTCTATGCTGCTATAAAGAATCATCCAATCCCTCTTTTTAACCTCTCCACTTTTTTTTTAGGTAAGGGAAAAGGAAACAGAAAAATTGCCTCACTTTTATATATGGTACAGGTAGTCCTTGACTTACAGCTGTAATTGAGCCCAAAATTTCTGCTGCTAAGCGAGACAGTTCTTAAGTCATTTTATGACTTTCTTACCATAGTTGTTAAGTGAATCACTGCAGTTGTTAAGTTACTAACAGGATTGCTAGATGAATCTGGCTTTCCCATTGACTTTGCTTGTCAAAGGGTTGCAAAAGGTGATCCATCATAAATATGATTCAGTTGCAAGCATCTGAATTTTGATTACGTGGCCATGGAGATGCTACAACGGTCGTAAGTGTGAAAAATGGACACAAGACACTTTTTTTCAGTGTCGTTGTAACTTTGAACGGCCACTAAACAAACTGTTGTAAGTTAAGAATTACCTATACCAGAATACTACAAACTTTTCTGTTAATGGAATTCAATAATAGGATAGGGTAGGGAAGGGAAGGGAAGGGAGGGAACGAAAGGATTTAAGGACATATTTCTAAGAGAATGTGGTAACGTTTAGTACATTTTTTTGGTAAAATGTCTTATAAACACTGAATGAATTAGCTCAGTTACAGTTATTAAAATAATGTAGTTCATAATGTGCTCAAACTAAAACTTATTATTTTAATAAAACAATTTATAATTACAAAAGATGATTTTTTTGTGGGGGGAAATCACTCTGAACCAAAAAACAGTATGTAGAAACAGAATCTTTTCTATATATCCCTTTTGCAAATTGAACTGTGTGCACTGAAGTATGTTATGTCATTTCTGAGTGAAGCCTGCAGGCTGAATCTATGAATGCATAATACAATTTTGTTTGAGAAAGTACATGAACAACTTAGAAATGTTGGATGACAAATTATATGTCTTTGACAACAGTGGCTTTACATATATTACGTACTTGCTCATACCCCATCCCATGAATAGAAATAGTATTATGCCTATAAAGTTTATTATTAGGCTTCTTTGTATCAAAAGTTCCCAAATACAAGAGCACTGGGGGTTAGTTTAGTGTTCAGATGAGACCTGTCTTTTCAACAGTGGCAAACCAGAAGCCTAAAAGAAGTCCAGTAATTAGGACAATAGTTACTTCTCACTGTCTTTCATCAGTGACAGGAATGCAAAGAAAAATTAATAGCCATTGAAACTTCAATTAATATGTCTAATCCTCTTTTGAACTTCCTAAGTTAGTGGCCATTACTTTCTTTTCTACAATCTTAAATATGTGCACTGGGTGTAGAAATGCTTTCGTTTTGCCGGACTTTAAACTCCTGTCATTCAGTTTCATTCATTCTATTCTCATTAGATTCTTAAAACCACCCAATAGCTGATGGTCTGTGTAATTTACAATAAAATACATTAAACAATGCAATTTGAATAAAAGCATCTACAATGAAATCAGATAATGAGCAAAATGAAAACTCCATTTGAATTACAAAGCAGCAAGGTTGTAACTGTATAACTCCCCTATTATTTTACATGCCAAACAACTCCAGGTAGTCCTCGACTTAGGACCACAATTGAGCCCAAATTTTCTGTTGTTAAGTGAGACATTTGTTAAGCGAGTTTTGCCCCATTTTATGATATTTCTTGCCACAGTTCTTAAGTGAGTCACTGCAATTGATAAGTTGTCAACCCGGTTGTTAAGTGAATCTGGCTTCCCCATTGACTCTGCTTGTCAGAAAGTTACAAAAAATGATCACATGACAGCAATGGTCGTAAGTATGAACCAGATGCCAAGCACCTGGATTTTGATCACATGATCATGGAGATGCTACAAAAGTTGTAGCTGTCAAAAACAGACATAAGTCACAACTTCCAGTGCCGTTGTAAATGAACTGTTGTAAGTCAAGGACTATCTGTACACAACATTATTTTTGTAACAAGCAGCTTTTTTAATTACACAGATTTCTGTATATCTGAGAAACGTTCTGTACTAAAACTGGGTCTTTTATGATATAAATAGCATTAAAAAAGCACTATTCACTGAACACTGCAGACCTTGTCTAATGTCAACCTTAGCTATTTTAACATTTGGAGAGGGAAACTGAATTTAATAAAAAAAAACAACCCCAGATTCCCTTCTTCCAATAGAGAGACGTTCAAAGCTGTAAACAGCACCATCCCTGAGAAATAGTGTTTCACATTTCATTATAAATCCAGTTTTCAGCCCAAGCTTATTATTGCCAGAAATGTTAAATGAAATAGTTTCACAGCCAAAATCACATCATTTCTTGGAAATTAGAATCCAACCGATAACATTGAATATGTTCCACAGTTGGAAGAAGCAAGATTGGGAATAATTGCTTCCCAAAGCCTATAATTAAATTTATACATTGCATTAGGAGCCATGGTGGCTCAGTGGTTAGCATGCAATACTGTAGGCTACTTCTGCTGACTACCAGCTGCCAGAAATTCAGCACTTTGAGTCTCACCAACTCAGATTTTGGGGAGCAACATGCCAACTTTGTAAACCCTTAGAAATAGCAGTAGACTTATATACCGCTTCATAGGCCTTTCAGGTCTCTCTAAGCGGTTTACAGAGAGTCAGCAT